AAGACCCCATAGCTCAAGAAAATTGTGCCTAAGGATTGATATGTGAGGGCTAGCCGATTTTGAGCATAAGGACTTTTCTCTCAAGTTATTCCAAGTTGTTGTTGGTGTTGTGTGAACCATTTGAGGTGTCACACTTAGGGCACTAGGCTCTTAAGCTCCATGGAATCAAGCTACAACAAAGAGGTATGTTATCCTAACTGGTATATTGTATTGTTTATGTCACTTGCATGCTAGTTGTAGGTTTAATGCATTGGAAACCATTTGCATGTATAATTAGTGAAAACATAGATCCAATGTATTTAGGGTTGTATGTGCACCATAGGATGTTGTACTATACTAAAACCCATCACTTATGACTTTCCATGGGTAGATTTGGGTGCCCTATACAGGTGGAGCTCGCCGTGTATTGTTAGAGGAGGCATATAGATCGAGATTCTCGATCCACCCAGGAGCTACGAAGATGTATTTGGATCTGAAGAGAGATTACTGGTGGCCCTGTATGAAGAGAGATGTGGTATGCGTAGTTGAGAGGTGCTTGACCTGTCGCAGGGTTAAGGCCGAGCACCAGCGCCCTCATGGCAAGCTGCAGCCACTATAGGTTCCCGAGTGGAAGTGGGAACAAATTTCCATGGATTTTATCACCAAGTTACCGATGACTGTGTGTGGGGTTGATGCAATTTGGGTGATTGTAGACCGGTTGACTAAGAGTGCTCACTTCCTTGCTATCAGTGAGAGCTCTTCTGCAGAAAGGTTGGCTGAGATCTATGTACGAGAGGTGGTTGATAGTGTCAGATCGGGATGTGCGTTTTACTTACAGGGTTCTGGAAGAAGTTTCATGAGGAGCTGGGTACCCGACAACACTTCAGTATAGCCTACCACCCACAGACGGACGGGCAGAAGACGCTTGATGACATGCTGCGTGCGTGTGTAATGGACTTCGGTGGAAGTTGGGACACTTATCTACCATTGGCTGAGTTTTCTTAAAACAACAGCCATCATTCCAATATTGGCATGCCTCCCTTCGAGCTTCTGTATGGGAGGAGATGTCGAACTCCCATCTGTTGGGGAGAGGTGGGGTAGAGAGTGATGAGGAGCACTGAGATAGTGCTCAAGACGGGGGGCGTACGCGAGTGTACGCTCAGCGTACTCATATGCGTGCATTTAACGCGGAAGCCACCTAGTACGCTGGGCGTACTAGGCCCAGAGTGAAAACCCTAATTTAGGGTGAGTCCCCTATATAAAGGATATGATGGCCTCATTCCTGACCACCATTCTCAGAAAACAAACCCTCTTGTGCCCTAAACCCTCGTTCTTAGAGCTTGTGAGCTTGTGAGTGCATTTGAGAGCCTTTGAGAGTCTTTGTGTGTTCTTGAAGTGAAGAAGAAGCTTTGGAGAAGAAGGAGTGAGAGTCCAGGCCCTTGGATCTGAGCATATCTGTGTTGGGAGCTTCACATAGAGGTATAAAGCTTCAAGCTTTCTCACTCTTTTGTTTTGTGCATCATTGTAGAGTATTTTAGGGTTTTGTCCCAAAAGTTGGAGACTTTATGAGATATTGAGCTCCAGAGACTATGATCAACCCCCTTTGAGTGTAATTAGTGGTGTAATGTCATAAAAATCCAATCTTGGTCGTTGGAATCAAGCTATGCATGAGATATGAGCTTTTTGAGTTAAGAGAGTGAGTGTTTTGTGTGTTTGTGACCATATCAGCCATGCAAAGGCTTAAAGTCACTGACTTTATGGAGTAAGAGCTATTAGGGAGTCCAGATCTATGATATGAGCCAAGGTCTTAGTTAATTAAGACCAAATGAGTGAGAATAGTGAAATTGGGACGTACGCTGGGAGTAATTCTAGTACGCGCAGCGTAAGGGTCGAGAATCCCCGATGCCTGCATGGCAGCCGAGTATGCGCAACGTACTCCCTGCCGTTGACTTTTTGGTTGACTTTTAGGGTTTGGTCAATTTGTGGACTATTAAGCCCATGGAGGGGTAAAATGGTCTTTTACCCTTCTGTGAGTTTGTAGAAGGGTTAGTTTAGCTTCAGTGAGAGCCGTTATTAATTAGGGATAATTATCGTTGTGTTAGGCGGAGGCTAGACCGGTGATTCGAGTTCGAGATTATCCGAGTTCTTACGAGGTGAGTCTTCTCACTATACTTACCTTGAGTGGTAATCTATGTGTGACCGGAGGGTCTTATGTGCATATACCGTGTATTGAGATATTCTGCTTATTGTTTTTGTGATATATATATGTTGTGTATTATATTGAGTTGTCGAGTTGAGGGACCGGAGGGTCCAGCTGAGTTGTGGGACCAGAGGGTCCCACTGAGACACATTGACCGGATGGTCTTATCTGAGTATAGCCATGAGAGGCTAATGAGATATGAGTGGTATTTTGGGGAACTCACTAAGCTTCGTGTTTACCGTGTTATGTTTTATGTGTTTCAGGTACTTCTCAGGATCACGGGAAGACGTCGACTTGATTGTACACACATCAGAGATTGAGTTATGTTTTGAGAGGATCCTGGAGTTGTTATATATACATTTTTTGGATATGTGTTTGATGATTTGATATTATGACACTTCTGGGATGTTTGGATCGAGAAAAATATGTTTTTTAATTGAAAATTTTTTGTTTGAAAATTTACGATGTTACAAATATTATAAAAAGAGGCTCATATGGTAATAACACACTCTCATCAAATCTATAGTGTCTCATCAAATCTATAGTGTTAAATGGGAGCTTCACCTCAACAAGAAATTATCAATTTTTACCGGAAACTAAAATGGTGATTTGATAGAAAATATGTTATTTTTTATAAATATTAGTAATTTTTGGACATAATATAGATTTTTTTAAAGAAAATTTTCGAAGGATGATCCCAAAATCACTATGAATTTTGTTCGGTAACTTCGGTTCGCGAAATTATCCTTCCTAACTTTTCAAAAGCACCCGGACCTGACCCGACCCGACTGACCTATTTCGCTTTTTCTCGATCTTCTTCAACAGACTTCCCTCAAAATTCCCTCCGATCGAATTTCACCACCAATCTCCTCCTATGACTCTGATGACTCCTCCACCTGTCGATGTAAGCTTAACAATAATTCTCTCAGACCCACGCACTCTATCAACACTCGTTCACACACATGCACACGCAACAACGTTATCTGTATCTATTATATCTACATAATGTACTGTTTTTAACTTTCGCCTGCTCGATTGCTTTACTACACTCACTTAGTTGGGCTATCCAGTTTCGATATCATCAACGATTTCTTTCTGATGTTTAATATGACATAAAAAATGCTCCACTTTTGTCTCTTATTTTTTTACTATTTGGGGAATGCTTAATTTCTAGGGTTTCAAATTCTACTTGATCACAATGAATTTTTATCAGATCGAATCCGTTTATATTTAGACTTCAATGTTGCAGCCTGAATAGGACGAAGGACCTAAACCAATGGAAGGTACTACTGGTTACCTCTTCTTTATCATTAATTAGTTTCATATTCGTCAAATTTTAATCTGTTTATGCCTTTCTTGTGTTCGTAATTTGATCAAATGTACTGCAGGACACTTTTAGTTTTTCTATTTTGAACTTCATTAATTTGTATAATACTTGCTCTCTTTGTTAGTTGCACCAACAGAAATGGCGAGTACTCATATTCCCTAAAGGAAACAATGTGGGCCACTTAGTTCAGCTTAGCTGTGGTAAATCAAATCCATAACAAGCTCACCATGAGGAAAGGTAAACCTTCTAATTCAATTTTCTAATAACCTACACTTTCAGAAATGGTGATAGTTATATGCCACTTCTCACCTTGCAGATACACAACACCAGTTTAATGCTCACGAAAGTGATTGGGGTTTTTCCTTTTATACACATACAGAAGAAACTACAGGTTCCAGATGAGGAGTTTTCAAAGGTAAATATTTTCTTCCTTTTATACCATCAATAATTTATTTATTTTTGTGGTTTGATTTATTAATCTCATTGTCATGTATCAGTGGAAGTTTGCATTTCTGTCTTTGGGTCATCCCACATACCTTCAGGACTCAGATATCATCTCCACCCGCTTTCAGGTCTATAAATTTCTCTATTTCTCTTTCTTCCAAATTCACTTATATATATGTATTTTGTATATATATAATATATATCTCAACGGGGTTTATTGATTTATTTATTTTTTTAATGTTTTTAGAGAAGAGATGTTTATGGTGCTTGGGAACAGTACTTAGGATTAGAACACTCTGATAATACACCCAAAAGGTCTTATGCTGCATATCAGGTACATGTTTTTCTTTTTGTTTCTCTCAAAATCCTATTTACTTTAACCTACTTTTGCCACATAAAAAATTGTTGTAAATTTTAAAATGATTTACAGAACCGACACACTTATGAGAAACCAGTAAAAATCTACAACTAGGCAATGGATGAAGTTTATATGAAAAGCTGCAGCAAGTTGTTTAGCAAGTGATAAGTGATGTCTTTGAGAAATTATTAATCATGGTTGTGTTGTGGTAGATAGAATAGATGTATATTTTTTTGTCAAGAAATTATTAATCATGGTTGTGTTGTGTTGTGTTATGTTTTTATTTATTTATTTATTTTTTTATTTTTTTATTATTATTTTTTTATAATGTTTTGGGGTTTCAGGTTTTGTACTAGTTCCTTGTGTTCTTATTGTAGATACGTGTACAAAACGTTCTGAGCCAAAAAAGAAAATGTCGAATCTTTGAGCAAATTAACACGTGACTTCCACTGTCATTATTCTTGGTTAAATGATTACCCTGAAACCAAGAGTTGCAAATCGCGTACTATGTTTTGTTATTTTGTATTTTAATGATAAAATTGCTAGCATTTGCATTCTGCAATGACGAGTCCTCGGTCCTCATTTAGGTTTTCCATGGACTTTAATGTAACTCAATAAGAAGTAAATCCCATAGATACCCTCCTTCAATTATCTCGACTTCTTTCACCCCCTTTTCATGATCGATCTTTGTAAACTTTTCCTAGAAGGCTGTCCCTATTGTCGCACCTAATGTTTCATGGTCAGAAAAAAAAAACATGCTAGAAATAATGAATTTCTAAAGGTTTCTAATTTCACAAATCCATCATAAAATGATTATCAAGATAACGAAACCCAATTCCCATAAGAATAAGGTTAGGCAAGGTAAAATGTAGGTAAAACAGAGAGATCTCTGTCATAAAATAAAAAATAACCCAAACCAGATGATTTCCTACAGTATAAAACGTCATTGGTGTGTAAGGAATAATAAAAGGGGACTCTGTTATAATTGTCTAACAAATTTAGAATGAGTTGCCAAAAATCAATTTTCTATTTTAGGTAATCGAATGCCTTATTTCATTATAAACCTATAACTGTTGAAAGTATTTATTTTTTTTTTAATTGTTTTCAGTTTTTTAGTTTGTTAATTTTGCAGGTCACAACTTATTTCTTTAGCATAACAAATATAGGGCGAGCTGCCAAAAATCAATTTAAGGGGTCTATGACCTCAAATGTCGAACTTCATAAGATATATCATCAACATATGATGGGATAAATCTTTTCTGGTCGATCATTCATTGTTATAACTAATTTATATAATCAATCCCCCACAGGGATATCTTTGCATTAAAAAAATATTACTATATATTTTGTAAAATAGATAAATAATACTCGAAATCAAAACTTACAAAGATCACATACGTACTATATTTTGTTATTTTGTAAGTACTGGTTAACAAATTTGAGGGTGTTCATCAGCGGCTTAATGGTAACAAAGCTAGCATCTTCATTTGCCTCATACTCAACAGTAACTCTAAGGATGCATGATGACTCCTCATTTTCTTTCTCCATGAACTCTAAAGTAATTCGATAAGAAGTACACCCCATGTCAAGATACCCTCCTTCAATTATCTCGATTTCTTTCACCCTCTTTTCATGATCGATCTTTGTAAACCTTTCCTTGAACGCTGGTTTCACCGACACCCCTGATATACACATCTCAAATCCGGAATCAAAAGCATGTTATAGAAATAATGGATTTTCAATCACAAACATTTCTGTTTTTCAGAAATTCATCTTAAAAGATCTCAAGATAAATGGATATTGAACTGAAACAAGGTTAATTTACCTGGACGAGGGGTAACTTTGATGATAGTGCCTACACCTCCATCACCTTCCAAGATGTCGACACCATAAAGATGAGGAAGCTCTGATTGTAGAATCATTGCAAGCTTAAGTGTGCTGTAAACCTCCCAAGCTTCGGTTATTGAAACCTTCACTTCCACTTCTTCCGATATCTTCCCGGACATTTCTGTTTGTTATCGGAACTTTGACTTTGAGTTTATTGTTTTATCGTTGTTTAATCAGAAACACTAAAGTCATGCTTTATCAAGAAGCTTATATGTTTATAACTTTATATGCGAGGCGTGACAAATCATGTGGTAGTATAATAATTGATGTATGTTGAATTATTTGATGGTGTGAACTTTTTAGTTGTTGAATTATTGCTTATTTTATGTTTCCTTTTTATAATTTTATAGTTTAATTTATTGGTTTTGTTTTTGTAGAAAAATGATTTAATCATAGAGTCCTTGTCATGTTACAGTGTGGGTGTGGTTTGGCCGCACCTTTGCCACGGTGGCAGGGTTAACACCGTGCCCACCCTCTGGTTTGGCCGCATGTGGTAGAAAAGTGCACCTTCTCTCTCTTCCTTTAATCCCCTTTCTTTTTTTCACATGTTTGAACGGTCAAAAAAATCGATTTTTAACCTATAAATAAAACCTCACAACCCTTATTTACCAAACCTAAATCCAATTATTCTGTTTTTCTATATCTTTTTCTCTCAAAATTACTAGAAAATGTCGTCATCTTCGTTTTTTTGAAGAATTTCAATTTATGCTTGAAGTTGTCGCTGGTGCTGCTCAAATAGCAAATAACACATAAACATATAACGCTTTATGCAATAACGAATAAGAAAGTTCGCAACGGAGAACACAGAGATATATTCAGAGAAACCGTAAATCAGCCCACCAACGCTTGATGCAAGACTACTTTAACGAACATGCCACTTTTCAAGGATACTATTTTCGAAGGTGGTTCAGGATGTTCAAGGCTTTATATCTACATATAGTTGAAGATTTGACGATGGAGCGTAATTATTTCCAACAACGTTCCGATGCTAGAGGTACACCCGGTTTCACTCCCTTACAAAAATGCACAACCGCACTTTGTCAACTAGCATATGACATCCCTCCTGATGCGTTGGACGAGAGTTTTAGGATGTCCGCTAGGATCGCGCAAGATAGTCTCCATATTTTTTGCACATATGTGATTCAGATTTACGGTCCAAAATATTTACGTAAGTATACACTCATCATGCTAGTGTACATGGTTTTCGTGGAATGTTAGGAAGTTTAGATTGTCTTCATTTGGCATGGGAAAATTGCCCTACGTCACACAATGGGCAATTTACGCGAGGTGATCATGGTCACCCAACATGCATACTTGAAGTGGTGGCGTCACCTGATTTATGGGTTTGACATGCCTTTTTTGGTTCTCTCGGTTCGATTAACGACATCAACGTTCTTAATCGTTCGCTGATATTCAACAACATATATGACGTATCAGCACCATATTTTTCTTTTTAAGTGCATGGAACATCATATAAGTATTGTTATTATCTTGTTGATGGGATCTATCCTGAGTATGTTGTGTTCGTTAAATCATTTTCATGTCCAAATGATTCTAGACGTAAAAAATTCAAGAGGGATCGAAAGAGAGTTAGGAAAGATGTCGAGCGAGCCTTTAGAGCTCTTAAGAAACGTTGGTACATACTAAAAAAACCAACACTTTTTTTTTGGAGGAGACAAAACTTCAAGAAGTCATGTATGCATGTATCATATTGGATAATATGATTATTGAAGATAAAGGAAGAGAGATATGTACGTATGACGCGTATGAAACCATCCCCGAGACACAACCAATAGACATTGGTGGCGATGAGTAAATGGATAGGAGAGCAGAGATACATAGCACTGAAACATTTCACAATCTTTACATGAACTTGGTGGAATACATTTACGGGATTCAAAACATTGATCTCAATTTGGATCCCCCGGATGACGATGAAGATGAGTTCTCAGATAAAGACTTTATGTAGTATGTTTTAGTTTTTAATCTGAGAACTTTTTTTTTGTGTTTGTCATTTTTTTAAGTTTTTTAATTCTAAAATGTATTTTTTTATTTGAATTAAATGAAATTTGAATTTTTTATTTAAATTAAATTGTTAAAGAAAAAAACAAGTATGGCGTGGCAAAGAAACCACACTTTTATGGTAAGAATGACATGAGAAAAAAGTGTGGTTTCTTTGGCACCCCACTCTCCGGCCTTATGCTCACTTCATAAGCAACACCAAACAATGCATAAAAAATCCAACCAAATTCTCATAGTTTGCCTCACAAAGGGAGACGGATCTAACCAGCGAACAATCAGACTACAAACAAAATATCATTAGAAATTTTACAAGATTGCTTATCTTTTTAAAGACCTTACTTACCTCTTTTCCATTTGTTACACACCATTGATTATCGCTTCAATGTGAACTCATATTTCATTTGCACGAGACTACTTAAGGTATCCACAATGGGGGTTGAATGAGGGTTTAATAGAATAAAATTGAATATAATATAGAAAACATCATAGAAATTGTTAGTACAAAATGCTAGGTTTTTTATGAATTGAATACAAAATACATGTTCTCTCTCCTACATGACACTCTATTCAACTCATTTCATTGAACCTCAATTGTGGATGGCTTTAAGGGAATGAGATACATACATTTACATTAATGTATTTGCTCCCGTATTTAATATTTTTTTATGCCGGCTTTCCACGAAAGTAGCTATATATGGCTGCTGACTCCTTACCTTCCCGTCATACCCTATTCTTATGGGAATGAGATTCATAAATTTACAATTATATCATACCTTTTAAGTAAACATTTTTCTAAAAATAAGTAAGAAAAATATACATAAATGTTACATTGACTTAAGTGATTTAGACAACTAATGACATGTTTATTATATTATTGTTGTTCAAATATTATATACTATAAAAATTATCGTTTGCATAAGTGGTATAGTGGTAAAAAGGTGAGAATCTGTACAAAGTATTAGCTTCAAGCTTGGACATCACTATAACACCGTTGTAGACAATTTTAAAACCTCTTATGACATTTAGTCATATCTTACCCAAGTTTGTCCTACAAAAACATTTTAAGGGTGATAGTATGACTTAGGGGTTATAATTTCATATCAAATACAATCATAGTGAAGCAAAATATATAAGTACAAAAAATAATTCCAAAGTATGTACCTCATCAAAAAAGCTTCACTCCATCTAGAACATCAAAAGACTATCTTCCAGTCATCTAAAAAAGATCAGTTTCTAAGGATCACATTCTTTTAAAACTTTGAACATGAAATTGGTAAATATGACATTTAAAACAAAATACATAAAACAATAATGTCTCATTAGCTATATGGGTTTTAGACACAACAAACTATTGAAACATTTGATGAAATCTTTTACTTCAATCATAATTCACGCAAGATG